TTTTTGTCACGCAGTTATATATTTTCTATGAAGCAATAGAGGTAATAACTATATTTTATTTATTGAATTTCTTCTCACATGTCATTTTTCTAATTTTCTTAAAATTATCACTCTTTTAGCATTTCTGAACCGTTATCTCAACTTCAACATTCAGTGAAAGCCAGTGGTTCGCGAGAGATAGCTTTGTTTTGTCTGAGAGAAGAATCAAGAAGAAGATGCCAACTTTGAATCTCTTCACAAATATCCCAGTCGACGCCGTCACAACTTCCGACATCCTCAAGGACGCTACTAAAGCCGTCGCTAAGATCATCGGAAAACCTGAATCCGTAAACAACTACTCTCTTAATCCCCTGTTTCCGCCATTTTTCTTAGCGACTTTTGTCAACCGATTCATCCTTCAGTGTCTTGTCTGTTTCCTTGTTCCTGTTTATGGCTTTGATTTATATCAATGTAGACTAAAATGGAACAATTTTCGCTCTTGATTGGTTTGGTTATGCTGATGTTATTCGTATATGTGATGCTGCACACGACGTGTTCGATGAAATTCCTCTGAGAATCGCAAGTCTGTTTCATTGCTTAGACAATGCCTGTTTTTTTTTTTCTTTGCTTTCAGTATGTGATGATACTGTTTAACAGTGGAGTGCCCATTGCATTTGCTGGTACCGAGGAACCTGCTGCATATGCAGAACTGATATCTATTGGGGGATTAGGACCAGGCGTAAACGGGAAGCTTAGTGAGACGATATCTGAGATTCTACAAATTAAGCTCTCTATTGATAGCTCTCGCTTTTATATCAAATTCTACGATTCCCCGGTTAGTCCCATTTTACTTTCAATTTAATAGTTGTGTGTGCATAAGAAAGATGTCACTTGCCTCTCTGCCTACAGGAAATGAATTATGTTTGATAATCATCTAATGTTCAAGTATATGTTATACACAATCTTTATTTAGATTAAAGCTAGAATCTTGCGATGGTTGGTTATACATATGCGTTTTGATGAAAGCGCAATGCTCTGAATGTTAAAGATGTCTTTTTAACTTGAATCAATGCTTAGAAGTTAAATTCATGGATCTTCGTTCTTTTTTTTTCTTTTTCTTTTGCAGCGCCCCTTCTTCGGATTCAATGGATCAACTTTCTGAAACAAGGAATCAAACGATGGCGAAGGCCGAAGAGGCATATTCAATCTTGTAATGAAATTTGTGTTATAGCTGTTTTTTGCTGCTTCATTTCAAAAGCTGTAGTTCTTAAGCTTGATTTATAGTTCCCTTGAAGCCAATACAATCCTCATGTTTAAATTGCTCTTGGGACTAGTTAAGACTTTTGATGTGATTTCGTAATTCTGTCATACAAATTGTAGCCCAAATAAAATGTATATATAGGGCCCAAGCCCATTTTAACTATTCTAACTTAAAAATCCATAACCAACCTTCTGAAATCAGTTCACCTGACAAAGTCAAAAGAGTTGATTTAAATTATTATGTCAAAACCTTAATCAATGTGATTTGATTTAAATCATTTCGAATGTACCATTTACAAATCTCAATGTGAGGTGCATTTTTCCTTGTTTGATATACCAAATCTCTAAACAAATACAAACTCATACATTGATCAAAGGCTTGAAATGAAAATAATTGGACTTAATTGTCGATTAATAAAGTTTCAGGTCAAATATGTAATTTCCAAATAAATAGTTACTGAGAAAAGAACCCTTCCGGCCAGTTGGACTTTTCAAACGCGACTTTCTTCGCCGGCAAGCAAATCGCGACGCTGCTCAGTGAGCAATCACGAATTCCGGT